GTGGAATTTGTTATGGCACCCTTAGGAAACTATCATAAATGGGAATGATAACCAAGTAACAATGAAATAGCAACTAAAGATAGTAGCTTTATGAAGTGTAAAGAGAATTTAGCAACAAGTGAAGGTGGGAGTGTAAATCTGAAATTAATAGGTAAAAGAAAGTCCTCTCGAAAAGTAGAAGACAGAAGAACATTCCAGTCAGAGGGAGTATCAGAACAAAGGCTCATAGGGAAGGGAGCATGGTTTGTGCATAGTTTGCGCACTGCCATCAGGTCGATTCCTACTCATGACACCCTATGTGTGCAGCGTAGGACTGTGCTCCATACGGTTTTCAGTGCTGCAACCTTTCTGATGCAGAGTGCCACGCCCATCTTTCAAGGTACCTCTAGGGGTGTTGAAGCCATAATCTTTGACTAATAGAGCGCTTAACCACTTGTACCACTCAGGGACTCCGTATTCTAGGAAAAAACTGATAAAATGTACACAATGAGAAAAAGCAGGCAAAAAATATACTTTGACCATGGATTCCACAGAGAATGAGCTAAATATATGCAGACTAGGAGAATTGGGGTGGAGAAAATCAAGGCACTAGAGATGGTGATGGGAAGGAAAGAGGGATAAGAGTGCTGTAAAGAGTCCTATAAACATTTCAGTACTACTGAAGCATAATTACAAAGTAGAAGAGAAATGATGTAACAGTTGAGAGTAAAGTCCAGATCAAGGAGATCCTTTATGATATATTAAAGAAGATGAACTTTGTCCAAGAGGCATTGGAGGTCAAAAGAAGGGTTTTCATAGGGAATGACATATTTGGAATTTAATTTTAGAAATATTACTTTCAGTCAAGAAAATACAGGGAACAATGAGAGATAGAGCATCTAATAGGAACCTGGAACAGAGATAATGAGTGCTTGTTCCAGCAACTATACTAAAGTACTGGAAAGGACTTAATAGGTTCAAGAAAAAAGGAAAATCAGCAAAGCTGGAAAGGCAGCCCTGGTGGCTCAAGGGTGGCGCCCACAAAGATTACAGGCTAATGTAATATAATGTAATGTAATGTAATGTAAACCACATGTGGCAGTGCTACTGTGAGGTCACTAAGAGTAAAACATTGACTCACTGACACCTAACAACAACAGAAATGGACTGGGAGAGGAATAAAGATGTAAAGGGGGTTCCCTGCGCTTCCAATTCCCATCTGTAGCGCTGTACATCATCTAGTCTAACCAGGTCTGCAAGGCAGAATTGGGGTCCTGGTAGTTGGGGAGAGGAAGTGTTTAAGAACTAGAGGAAGGTTGTGGGAATCTAGGACAGATGAACCTCTCAGGACCAGGGGTGACAGTGGCGATACCAG